TCACCCCGAACCACGAGCAGAGTCAGTGTGGTCTGCTGGCCGCCGCACGAGACGTGTGCAGTCAGCTGACCGCGCACCGGCAGTGCATCTCCAGTGTAAGTGGTTAGCGCCACTTGACCCGGCTCCAGAGGGGTGCTCTTCAGCTCTGAGCGCCACACAGATTCGCTGATGATCGTTCGGCTCGCTCCAGTGTCGACTTCGAACACAAGCGGCCTTCCATTGACATCCACCGTCGTCCTGTAGGCAGGAACCCGGTGTGGAGTATTTGTGGCGTTTACTTGATACATGTCGCCATCCGGCTCCGTGTCGGCTGCCAGTACCGTGTGTACCGCTCGGCAGACGTTCCTGAGATGGCCCACTTTGCCACAGCCGTAGCACGTCGCACGCCTATGGGGACACTCCTCGGCCTGGTGACTGCGCCTGCCACAGCGGCTGCACGGTAAACCACCGGCTGAATCACTTGGCAGGCTGCCAGCACTGGCCGCCGTCTCGGCCGGCCGGCGTGTGCGTGTATGAAATGCGCGGGGTCGTCGCCTCAGCCCTCCCGCGGCTGGCCCCGCGGCAGCGGCTAGCCCCGCGGCAGCGGCAGGCGCGACAGCGGAAACTGCGTGCAGCGGGTCCGGGCCGGTCACTGCTGTGCCTGCCAGCGGGGCTGCCGATGAGGCGATATCCTGCAGGTCAGCGGCTGCTGTCTCCATCGCAGTCGCTATCTTGATCTGTCCGTAGATCACCACCAGCCCGGCCGGCCTCACAGCCGACAAAACACACCTTTCAGTTCTCAGCTCTATTCCCCGACTGACCACGCTCACACCCCCCAGCGCCCCCCAGCGCTGCGTAGACGACCCCGCACAGTTATACATATCATTTGCCATCAATTATTTTTGCTTTTCGAATTTCGATGGCTCCTTTTACAGGTTCTTCTATAATGCGCACGGTTAAGTTAATTTAGTTCGTCTTCTATGAAGAAAGTAAACGTTTACCTTACTGAATACCACAGCTTGCGTGATCGAATCGGTGTGTCTAATCGATTGCTCTTCAAACTTCGTTTTCTCGTAGTCTTTATCTTTCCATGTGCATTCAACATGAAATGAACAGTGACTCGACCCCATGCACACTACCCACAAAGTATGACTTGTCATTATATCCCGGTCAGTGCGTCCACCGTGCGGCGGCCGGCGCTGTTACGCGCACAGCCCACTGTTCACACTGTGTCGCCGGGGCCGCGACGGGCGTGTGTTGCAGCAGCGGCGCATGTGTGCACCCAGTGCGGCGCCGCCTACCGGACGGCCACCTCACTGGCGCACCACGCCCGCCTGCATGACGGCCTCACACTGTGCCCGATCTGCGGCGTGGCGCAGAGCCGCATCTGCAACCTGCGCCGTCACCTGATACGGCGGCACCGGCTGAGTCGCGAGCAGGCCGTGCGCCTGATCCCATCCCGCGCCGAGCGGCTGGCGCGCGCTGCCGCCGGCGGAACACAGCCCGCAGGAGCTCAGGAGGCCAGCGCGCGGACGGGGCCGGCCGGCGGCGCGGTCACCCTGCCACTGCAGATGGACGGTGGCACTGGGCAGTTCGGCGCCTTCTGACTGACTGATTAGTACGAGGCTGACATGTGTCTGGTCAAGGGGATTTATCGGTAGTCATGATCGGCCATGTTAGAGTTTGTGTCGTTTTAATTATGTACTAGACAGTCTTATATTACCTACTGCCAGGGACAGTGCTAGTATGTTTCAATCAGGCGGATTTGTATGGATTATATGTGACACCGGGGACGACCTTTTGAATGAGGCAATATCGTTCTTGCCTTGGTTTGATCAGTTGTATCGTACTGACAGGCTTACATCGTCCGAAAAAAAGGCTTCCTTTATTTGTTTATGGCGCTATCTTTGACGTGTAATAGGTGTTTTGCATTTGTACGTCCGCCTTTGTTGCATTATACTGTCAGGAACGAACAATAAAAATCACCGGGATGCCTATCGTATCGTTTTGAAACTGGTGTTTCACGAAATGCTGGAAGGAGGAAAGGGTATCATACGGCACACCCACTGAATGTAGGTAGAGGCATGGATTAGGTATTCCTGGATGGGACACTCCGCCGATTTTCCGACCACCCGGCGGCGGCGGCGGATTTCCCGACGGCGAGGGCGCTGGCGCCATTTTAGCATTGCGGGCTATGGGCGGAGCGTGTCTTTTGGTATACTTTTGTCGTTTATTACTTACCTATAACCGATTTTGATGAAAATTTTTGTAAACCTGGTAGAACAGGAATTGAGGAATGTCATGGAAATATTCTTTTCCCAGTTTTGATTTAAGAAGTTGCTTAAATTCTGCTGACAAGTGAGGGTTCGTGATTACAGCCGAAGAGCTAATTTTAGAATAAAGCTAAGTTTTATGCTATAACATGAAAATAAGTTGATATTTGTATTAAATCATCAATAGGAACTTGTTTGACTGCCGAGGAACGATGATATTTGATGATAAATTGCATCGGCAAGTCAAGAATACCGGCTCAGTTTATGGGCATCAGGTAATGATTCCGTATGTGATAGTGACTAAATGGAGCCATAATAACCAGTATAGCGCCTTTTGGGGCGACTAACGGAGCGAGCGAGGGGGTGAGTCTTGCACGTGCGAAATTTCGAGGGGGTACCTCCAACTGACTTGTGCACGGCACCCTACTGACCGGTTTCTAGCAATGTGCCAAATTTGAGCACAATCGGCCCAGCCGTTCTCGAGATCTGGGAGCGGCACCCTGCACGTGCGCACGTGCAAAATGGGTCCCAACTGACTTGTGCACGGCACCCTACTAACTGGTCCCTAACTGTGTACCAAATTTGAGCGCCATCGGTCCAGCCGTTCTCGAGATATGGAAATGACCCCTGCACGTGCGCACGTGCAGCAGCACCCCAACTCTGGCACATGGATATGCAGTGCCTAGTGGGTGCCTACTGCCTACCTACATGCCAACTTTCAGCGCAATCGGCCAAGTAGTTACCGAGATATTGCAACAATTACAAAAGTGACACCTCTTCGTTTTGCACGTGGCACGTGCATAAGGGGTCACCCACATGCATCGGGAATAGTCCAATACTTGGTAGAAGGAATGAAGCTACCCTACAAAAATTACCGCATGTAAATCGGTCAAGTGGTTGCTGAGATATAAGCCTCGCAAAAGCGTCCGCACGGCCGGCCGGCCGGCCGGCCGCTCATACTCAGAAATTTCCGTTATTCTACGTAAGACTCCGCTCGCTTCGCTCGCTCCGTAATGATAAGAAAGGACTAAAAATTATGTTTAAAGTGTCTGAAATTGTGTCTTATGAGCTAAAGTTCTCTAATTTCGCCCTCCATTACCGCGTTTTTAGCACGCAAGCCGGTGCAGCGGCCGCCGGCGCACTCGCCGCCGATGTTTCGGAGCTCCGCCACCAGGGCGGCCGCTTGGTCGCCGGCGCTAGTGTTGGGGAATAGGGAGTGTCCTATCCAGGAGTACTTCATCCATGGTAGAGGCGTGGTTTATTTTTATGTTGATATTTGCAGACGACGTTTTGCGGCATCGTTTTCTTGCCGTCTTTGCCACCACCCATCGAAGGTAAACCGAACGATGCAGTAGGTAAATCAAATAAATGACCCCATCGTAAGGGCATGCCACTTATGTTTCTATTCGTACCTGATTGCACGTGCATCAAAGCAATGGTTTCTCATGGCCATTATCCCTAGAGCAATAGTGTTTGCCTTCCCCTTTATCGTGGTTGATCCGTCCATTCTCCGCGCGGACAGGTGGTCTCTGTCCTCACCCACCGCCGCGCGCCTGTGTTGCAGCCTCGTTCTCGTGCCCGGTGTGTGGCGCCGTGTACAAGTCGAGCTACTCTCTGCAGCAGCACGCGCGCGTCCACGAGGGCCGCACCCTGTGCCCCGTCTGCGGCGTCACACAGAGCCGGGTGACCAACCTGCGGCGCCACCTGATGATCCGCCACAACCTGAGCAAGGAGCGTGCCTGCGAGATGGTGCCGCTGACAGGAGGAGCAGGAGGGTGGGATCGAGCGGAGCTGACCGCCCTCCGGAGGCCGCCGCCCGGTGCCGGCGAGCCGCAACACTCGCTGGCTGCCACCGCCAGCGGTGATGGACTGGTACACGACGGCGAACAACTGCCCTGAGCGGATACTGTCGACGGCAGGACGTGTCCAGAGCTGGTGCCCCGTAGCGTACAACTTAACTGTCCTTTAGGCTGGTGTCCTTGTCGCTCTGTGGCGGCTGGCAGCTGCCCTTAGCTGGTGCTCGCTCGAACGATATGTGAGCCGAGCCAGAGCCATAATAGGTAGTTGGTAGTTGGTGATATAGCACAGAGCATTGGTATGCTAGCTGCGGCTGGGCCTCGTTTTGCTGGCCAAGGCTGGCGGCGTTTGACAGTTGTGTATTTTTTAATTGCATTAATACCTATGTGTTTGACCAGTTTGAACTGTCTTGACGTTCTCGAGAAGTCGATAACCGTAGCATGTGTCGGACGCCGGTAGGTAAATACCAGCATAGTATGAGGACGTCTGTTGTGTTGTTTGCTTTCTCGTACATGTTTGAAATAATTCTTTATTATGTGTCGTTAATGTGAAATACCTACTGTTGTGTGGAAAAGAAGTTGAAAACGAATAATATATCAATTGTGGCTCTCGCCAAAAGAAGCACTCGGTATTTGCCAACCTGCGAACCGGTGGGCGGCGGTCAGCGAGATTCATCTGCGACTTCCTGACAGACAGGACAGACATGTAGAACGATTTGGCTAGGATGAAGATGAAAGGTAAGTTTAACTTCCATCTAATTCACATCATGAATTATATTAATTGCAAAGGATTGTGCGTTAATTATTTGCATGAAAATGAAAGCGTAGGCAATGTAACAGAGAAAATGTACATTACTTGCTTCTATCTCCTTGTTTTCCTTTGATCATGTCATGACGTCATGCTACCATATTTTGTTAACGAAGTCGATTTCTCGCAACCTTGGTGAGGTTTACGCATTTGCAACACAGAAACAAAAGTGGTTGCAGAAGCACTCAAGGCCCTATAAGAAGCACTCAGTTCACCGCTTGGTTTGGTTAGGAATGTTTCTCTAGTTAGTCATTTTAAGATTAAGGTTTTTCATTGTTTTCCAAACAGTCAAATGGCCCTGAATGCTGCAAGGGTAGCTGGAAGAAGACGAACGTCAGCGACGCAGGACGACCAGCAGCAGGTAAATTCAGCCCTCAGTTGCATGTTCCACATAATTATGATGTTTTTTACAATATATTTTGTTATGAAATTATTTGTTGGTAATTGTGGAGCATTGTAAGTTCCAATCTAATGTCTAAAGCCCACTTAAAACTGCGGAATGGTGACAACTTACCTGCTGACGCGCCACATTTGTCTCGCCACTCTTAAAGTCAGTTACAGTAGCCACAGTGATTGAAACAAAATTTAACAAATATTCTTTACACAACATGGGTGGCTCTTAAATATACAAGGGCTTTGCTGTAGTATTTGACTGAAACACATGCCTTAATGTCAACATCATTGACCATGCTCTAAGCTAATGACTGAATTATGTGCCTGAATACGACATGACTGAATATGCAGTCCTGGTGGCGCAGTCAGTTAAGGTGTCAACCCGTGGTCGGGGTTGCTGGGTTTGATTCCCGTTTCATCCCGTCTAGCGGGGCATCGTCCCTGGCTATGTCACCAGGTGTGGGGTAGACTCTCACCTCAGTGGTAGCCTGGGGAATTGGGATGGGACTAGAGTAAGAGTAGGGGCTCTCCTGTAAATGGGATGCCAAGTTGCCCATAGGAGAGGCCTGAATAAAAAAATTGTTAGAAGTCAGAATAATATAAAATGCATATGGAACATGATCAGGCCTCCAACTGAAGGTCACATGACTTGACTGGGTTTCTTTCATTCAAGATCACAATTTCTACTGTATCCAGTATTGCCATTATAAACTGTATACTTGAAAGCTGAAAACTGTATTGTATCAAACTGTATGGAGCCTTTTCCAAGTCCTCAAAAATGAATTAAATGTGGTTGACAAGATCATGTTTTAGCAGCCCTGAGCCCTGATAGTTGCATGTTTCTAGCAGGCTAGGTCAGGAGAGCTGAAAGTGCATAAATGTTTTTATATTTGGATGTCACCCTGACACACATGATTCCACCAAGCTGAAAACACCAAAGAATATCATACACATCTACCCATACAACAGAATCTTAATAGGAGTTTGAAATATAAAATTGGAATAGGTATCTGAAAGTAAACATGCTGCTTGCCTCAATAATAATCCAACACTGAAATTTTATGCTTCAGCATGAGGTGACATAAAACTCTTTTTTTTGGCACAACATCGTAGTGGCTTTAATTTTGTTGGTAACTTTGGCAAAAATTGTCATAAAACAATCAGCAGATATATTGATACCTACTTTTGTGTTTCTTATGCCAAAACATGTCAGATTAGTTATGTACTTTTTACCCCCAAGCAATACAGTTTTAGACTGACCTTAGATGACTTTTGATGAGTTTATAACATGGACACAAGGCTGTCTCATGTCTGTTAAGTTTTTGTGGGCTCTGATTACAAAGCTGGCATCAGTTTTGCTGTCCTTTTTGCGGTTGTTCAGACTTAGAGATAACTGAAATAATTGAATCACATTGACTGAATTTGCATAAGATTCAACATAAGGCAATCAGAGCCATTAAGCTCAATCACAACCAATGTTGAGTATTAGCCTGCAAATTGCCCATGTGGCTGCTGTTGCAGCAGAATGAGCCTAGTCGATTGTGGCTGTTCCAGTTTCTCATACACGCTACATACCTACCCTACCATATTGTGTGACCAAAATATTGTGTTAACATTGCTTCATGTCAAACCCTCATTGACTCCAATGAATTTTGCTATTTTGAGCTACTATCAGAGTGTGAGCGCGAGCAGCGTTCGATACACTGTGCACCGTTTGTTCCTCTCCGCCTCCCCCTCCCCTCGTATCACTTCCCCTCAGTCCTCCTCTCCCCTCCCCTCCCCTCCCATCCGCACGTGACTGTTGTCCGCGTGTATCGAACTTCGTAGTGCGCCAGATGGCCGGCCGGTGGCAGACCCGCCGCTCGCTCCTGCCGTACCGTACCGTACTGTGCTTTTCTCGCCCGTGGTACCGTTTTATTTCTCCGCTGCCTCCTGTGACGTACCTACGTTACTACTTCTACCTCGCCGCGACGCGGCGTGCGGTACCGTATCGTACCTTTCTCGCATGCCTGCCGTGACGTGCCTCCGTTTTCTTGCTGTGACGTACAGCCCACCGCTAAAGTAATGTGTGGTTTTACCAATCTCAACGGATGGCTTTGACCGACGATTTTTAAATGCGGACTGATTGAAAAGAAGACGTCAATAGATAAAGTTGTAGCTGCAAGGGTGAAGATACATGTAACCTACATTCAAAGTCTCGTTGCAGTCTGGCTAATCGTTCCTAGGCTTCAGAAGCAGAACATACCCATGACTGAAACCACACATTACTTGTGCTGTGGACTGTACCTTTCTCACATACCGTGCCGTCCCTCCCTCCCTCCCTCCCTCCCTCCCTCCCCCACCGTAACGTCCTTCACTCGCCGTGACTCCCTCATTGTACCATCCCTAGCCTCCCTCCCTCCCTCCCTCCCTCCTTCCCTCCCTCGCCGTGACCTGCCCCCCCCCCCTTCACCAACAGCTCGTCTCCAGTATCGGCTCGGCCGCCAGCATGGTTCGCTCAGACGCTGAGAGCCTGGTGGCCTCCGAGGACGTGCCCTCGCGCCACTCGGTCGTCTCCGACCTGGAGCCCATGTTCCGGCCGATTCGCGTGGCTCCCTATATCGCCGTACACATGACCATATTGGTGAGTGAATAGGGGGGGGGGGGCTAAGAGATGGCCGTAGAGTGGGGTGTCTGGTGTGCTGATGGTGGTGTTTGGTGCGCTATTTGATGTCTTGATTTGTTTGCCGGTAACAGTGTGTTGTTTCATGTCTGTTGTATTGTTTTGATGTGGTGTCGTGGGTTATGGCAGTTGATGTGTTTACTTTTTAATGCATTGTTTGATCTGAGACTGACAATGTTTGATCTGTCCTATTTCTCTTACGACAAACGCCTGATGGATGAGCTAGCTGTCTGAAGTGCCGCTTTATTTGCTGTGATGTCCTGGTGAGACTGCAGGATTCTGGTGGACTGCTCTCCACGTGGTACCTAGTCACGTGCTAGTTCCAACCTTAGTGCTTGGCTGTGAACGCATTGCTCCAACTAGACGCTCGATTACGAATCGGAATAGAGAAAGTGTAGTGGTTGGTGAAGCCATAGGTATACAGAGGTCTATGGAAGTGCAAAAAAAAAGAACGGGATATTTGATAGCACCCTCTCTCCCTTGCTCGTGCCTTTCCGGCTCTACTGACCGTCACCACCGCGGCTGCTGGTGTTTCAACTCGCACAACAGCCAGTGGGGGGAGGGGGTGGGGTGGGGGTGGGGGGTCGCCTCGCGTTGAAGTTTGCTGGCGACGTTAACCATATCAGTTCCCCATCCCCGCCCCGTCTCGTCCCAGCGACCTTGCTCAATGTCCAGTATCCGCAAATACTCGCTCTCCGCCCAACAGTCGCTAACCGGGTGCTGCCCACCGTTTGTGCACAAAAATGCAGCTATCCTCTGCCCTGCGCGTGGTCAGTGTGGGTACACTGCGCTGGTTTGGCCTTGATGTTTTTTTTTCTTTTGCGCACTAAACGTAACTTAGAATTCACCCCTTGAGTACGCTTTGGTGCGTGATATATTTTATTCGTCATCGCTCACACTGTCATTGAACCTGACATGTGATGTCAGAACAGCGCTTCAATCACTCCCCTTGTCCACTGTGTTTCTATGAACATACGCTGTCCTTTGTTCGCTTCTCGATCAGTGCTTAGGTTTACGTTATCGATAGGCACGCAATCGGCCGCCCTGTTATGCTGCCTGCGCTGTATCTTCTCTGTGCCGCTCCCCCGTTTCTGTATACCGCTCTGTACCACTCTGCTCTCTCTCTCTCTCTCTCCGCCCGCTCTCTCCGACGTACGCCACTCTGCTCTCCGCCAGGTGGGGCTGCTACTGGCCGTGCTACTGCTGCCGTTCCCGTTCTTCTGCAAGTACGACAACTGTCCCCTTCAGACGTACACACTACAGACTCTGCTCCACATCGCCGCCTGGCTGGCCAGCGCGGTAGGTGGACCGGGCGGCAGGTGGCGGCTGGCCCCCTGCGTGAATTTTACACACATGTGCATTCAGTCGTGTTTATTGTTAGCAGTTCAAAAAAAAAAAAAAAAAAACAATGAAAGTTATGGTAGGACTTCTTGCTCATCTTTAGCTGTTGCTGTAGCTACATATGTTGCTGTTATCCGTACTAGCGACGATATGTCTAGCTGTAGGCAATGCAAATTTTGAATAACAGATGTCGAAAGGTGTGCCTGGGTGTGCATATTTTGCGCGAACGTCCGATTCTGACCGGTTCCTTGACAGTGTTCTCCATGTTGCAGATTCTGCACTACATTCTGCACCGGCTGCACTTTGACTCGTACATCAGCGGGTACTCGGAGTTCCACCGGGCCTCCCGCCTGCACAGGAAGTTCCCGTTCGTTGTCTATTCAGTCGGTGAGTGATCACACGCCGGTGTGACCTTCCCATCAGTTTGGTTGAACGCGGCTTCATCGGACTGGACTGTCGCTGTGTGGGGGTGACGTGGTCATGGGCGAGGGAGCGGTCTGTTGTACCCTCTCGCGGACGTATGGGTTGAGTTACACTCTGCTGATGCGATGGAAACAGTGGTGATGGATTCGGTTTGTCTCCGTTTCATCAGTAAGTTATTGGTTCTCAGGTGGTCAGTATGGATACCACCACACTGATCGTGGGTGGCTGCTTGTTCTCTGGTATGCCCTATAGATGGCGATGGTTTGACAATCAAAGTTCGGTATGCCGTTCCTGAGAGACATGTCGGATATGTGTTATGAAAAAAGTTTGCCTTTCATGCAGAGTTACAGCTCTTGGGTGGCCATGACTCGGTGATCTGTACTTCTTACTGGGCCATCACCTGGTCCCCAACTCTTAGTCCGTTACCTACCGGCTGTACCCAGACTGGTCTATTGCCGAACTGGTCCGTTACCGTTTACCTTTACGGCGACTGACCCGCCCCCTCACCAGGCAGCTCGCTGCTACTGGACCCGTCTCTGTCATCACTGACCGACCCGTGCCCTCCACCAGGGAACTCTCTGCTGCTGGGTCTCTGTCTGGTGCTGCGAGAGGCGCCTCCGTCACCGGGCCCCGAGCCGGACCCATACCCCAGCCGCTGGCCGCTCTCCGCCTTCCACTACGTACAACTGCTGGTGGCTTTCGAGTTCATTGCGCTGATGCCCGTCCTCATCCACTACCTGCGTGAGTAACCGGCGAGGAGTTTGAGTAGCCGCGGTGATATCGGTGTGTGCTCCAGAAACAGTGTGTATGATTACACCATGATCCTGCCTGGCGACTACTTATGCTCCAGATGTTCCTTTATCCAGCGTCTCAGTATGTCGTGAAGTCAGTCCCGAGGGGTTACAAGCACTGCTGATGCATATTGTGCACAGGTGTAATGTGTTTTAATGTTTTTCTTTATCCGAGTTTTGATATGTTTGTTTAAGTTTTAAGTCGAGCGATAATTTGCTGAAGCGATGCTACTTCAGTGATGACTGTGTCACTTGACACACATTTTCCTCATGAGCTATGCATAGATACAGCGGCGGCCGTATCTGCTCGGAGCAGTGAGCTGGCGGCAGCTTGAGCTGACTCACTACAGCCTGTGCAGCCTATGCGCTGTTGGTTGGTTGTAACGATAGCTAGCCACTTCCCGTCATGTGTCAGTGAACATACCACCACTTCCGCTGCCATGCAGTCGGTCCCGGCATGTACCCCTCGTTTCCCCTCCCCCTCGACCTCCTACTGTCCCGCTCTGATGATAACTCGGACGCTCTATGGCCACTATACCTAATCTGTTCGGTCAGCCATATTGATGCAGTCCTGTCGGCCATACCTACTCACTCCGTTCTGTCAGTTATACTGATGCTACATTGTCCACTGACCATGCATTGCCGGGCTATACTGAAGTTACATTGACGCTATTGGCGCTATAGTATATTGCTAATTTTGTATATGGATAGAGACAAGTAGAAAAACACGGAACAAATAGTGCATGGACGCGTTTCGATTATTAAATCTTCATCAGCATGACATAATCACAGAGAAAACAAGATATAGCACACAAACATTCGAGCTCGTCACAGTGCAATCGTCTTGATTTTAAAAATTCATGCATATGACATATTCGCTACTAATCCACCTGTAGGAGAATATCCACGAAAAATGATAGCAAAATAGATCACTGACATACATATGACACATGGATAACAACAAATTTGTACAGAACGATCATGAACAAGTAGGTACTAATACAAACTAATGACGCGTCTTCTTTAAACTATACATCGCCGCTGGTTTTGCCCATTTCATCGAACCCACCCTAATATTAATCGTTTCGTTCATTGCTATAAATGCCGCCTCTGTCGCCTTCCGATTGTCTTTGTTTTTACATAATGCTATAATTTCCGCCCCGCCCCATCTTGGTAAATGATGTGTTTTCTGAGCATGAATTACTACCGCGCTATGTTCTGCGTTGTTTCGCATGTCCCGCTTATGTTCCTTTAATCTAACGTCTAAGCCCCTCCCGGTTTCCCCTATATATGATTTGTCACAAGAACCACAAGGAATCTTATACACTAAACTTTTTTCTTCTCCATTTCTTTTTGTGTGGTTTTTTAGTATATCCCCTACCTTTGTTCCCGAAGAGAAAGCGATTTTAAATCCAGTCATTTCAATCTGTTTCGCTATCATCTCGGCTGGTTTCGAATTGGGAAGTGTTATATATCGTTCGGTTTTCTTCGTCTTTGTTGTCGCGCTTCGCTTTCGAATATTGATAGCTTTTCTTTTCAAGTTGACTAGAAATCCTTTGGGGTACTTTAACTTCGTGAACGATGCCATGATGTGCTGAATCTCTTCATCTATAAACTCTTCACTACAAATGCGATACGCTCTAAGGAAAAACCCCAAAACAATCCCACTTTTAACCCGATCATTGTGTCCAGAATAGAAATGTACGTACGACTCTTTGTTTGTAGGCTTTCGATACACTTTAAATTTTGGCTGACTTCCACGTATGATCACAGTATCAAGAAATGCAATCGTCCCGTTGCTTTCTTTCTCAAGTGTAAACTGAATCTTTTCCTCTACCGAGTTAAGTCTATCAAGTTTGTCCTCTAAGTTCGTTTCTTTTGGCACTACTACGAGGATATCGTCAACATAACGCAACCAAATTACGTTACTGCCCATGATGCCTTTTTTTTTCACTGCTCACTGGTGGTTTTAACACAGTTTCAGTTTAGCACGGTCCGACACCACTGACTGCACGACACGGCACAGCACGGAGCACACCTGGCCTCGACGCACGCCGACGCGACACTACGCGGCACGACGACAGGCCAAATGTCCCCACAAGGTTGAGTCGAGACCGACGCACCGCGACTGGGCCGGCTGCGGCGCGGCGGCGCTGGACTCTGACAGGCCCGGGACGGTGACAACGGCGGCGCGGCCGTGCGCCGTTTTTGTTCGAGTCTTTTTTTTTTTTTTAACTTCTAGCCATTTATTTGATCATTTGACCACCATTAACCACGCAAAACAAACGCACACAAACATTACATACAAAATTACAACATAATATGACACACATAGCTTAACAGCTTTACTAACAGACCTTTTAACAAAAAACACAAAACACAAAACCAAACAAAGCAAAAAAGAAAAGAAAAAAATAATCAAACGAACCCAAATAAAAGTGACGACATACGTAAGCATTCGGATCAACTAATAACGGCATTCGTGACCCTCCACAGGGCATCATATCTATCCATTTTGTCATTTATTTGCGCCACATGCTTTTCCATAAGACTGTACTGTTGCAGCGTGCTGATAAAGGTCTGGAAGGTTACCGGTCGGTTACTAACTCTACAATTCCAAATATACTGTTTGGCTACCAAAATCAGTAGATTTAAGCGATCAACAAAGTGAGCTTCGCCTTCGACCCCGCATATTATCTGTTGTAGAGACAGCTCCTCTCTTACCCTGAATCTGTCCTTCAACTGACGCCAGAAACTCGCCACTACCTGACAATGCCAAAAAAGATGTCCAATAGATTCTTGATACATTGGACAACTCCGACACTTGTTTGTTTCAATTAGGCCATACATATACAGACGCTTATTCGTGGGTAAGAAACGATGTAAACACTGATATTGCAACCATCTTAACTTTCGATCTTCACTAATTGCGTACACAAAGTTAAATGCTCTATCCCAATCATAAGTTGCTGGTAACCCCAGTTCTTCCTGCCACTTAATGCATGCAATCGGCTTCGCCTGATTTTCTCTGATAATTTTCAGATACGCCCATCTTACTACTTTCTTTGTTTCTAATAGTTCTTGCGTGACCTTATTTCTGACCCTTGTGATAGGCTCCTCTACGTTCAGCAGTTCACGCCAATTCTCGGGGATTGTCCTAATCAACGATTGACATGGTAATGGGTGTAAGTCGTACTTTAATGCCAACTCATTTGCAGACAACATTCGATGTCTATCGTAATCGTACAAATCGCTCACTTTGACCATTCCCTTAGCAATGTATACACTTCTCCTTATCCCCTGAATTTTCTCTATTCGTATATTTCTATTGAACCATATCACTTCATTAAGCACATCGCCAGCTGTTAGGGATTCTTTTGTAGCTACTTCTCGCCAGGCTAATACGGTTTCTCTCCAAAAACTATTACTCACGCGCCCCTGTACCTGTCTTAGGTCAGGGTTGCATTGGAATATACTGACATCGCCGTTAACCGTCAAAACTGGGCTTATAACCTTTTTCCAACTAGAAACATTATCTTTGTCGAGATATCGTTTGACCCATCCAATCTTCAGACTTTTTACTACCGTCAAAACATCTGGCACCTTTAGGCCTCCTTTTTTGTATTCCATTTTGAGAACTTCTTTCTTAACCCTAGCTCTTTTCTTGCTCCAAATGAACTGGAAAATAATATCGTCTATACGTTTGATCATATCGGCTCTTGGTTGTGGGAGTACAGACATTACGTAAATTAATTGCGACAATGCGACAGATTTGACCAAATGGATCTTGCCATATGGCGTCAATCCTCTTTGCAGCCACGGGTTAAGACGTTGTTGCAATTTATCAATCTTATTTGTATAATTTTTCTGCAAGATATCCTCCTGGAGTTCGGTATCAATTAGCAAGCCTAAAATCTCGATCGGCTCCCTCGTCCATTTCAAGCCAATTTCTTCGCAAATGAAGTCTTTTGTCTGTGATTCATTGCCAATCCACGTGCAGTGGGTTTTATGTTTATTTAACTTCAATCCCGACACTGCTTCAAAACTATCGAAGGTCGCTATACACTGTCTGAGTGAGTTCGTTGTTCCGTCCAAAAATATCGTAAGATCATCAGCGTAAGCTGTAACCTTCACAGTGATGGAGCCCGACAGGTCCACCCCCTTGACCTCATCGTTATTTCGTAATGTGCGAATGAGGGGCTCTATACACAACAAAAACAGGTAACAACTCAGTGGGCAGCCTTGCCGTAGCCCCCTTTTAATCACATACGGCTCAGACAAAAAGCCGTTTACTTGGACTCTAGCCGTAGGGTAATGTTCAGGCAGATCGGTATACAGTATATCTATCCACTTTTGGAAATTTGGCCCATGATGCCCTGATAATGGTGCTTTTCGAGCCACTCCATGTACAAACATGCCGCCACCGGACTCAGTGGTGACCCCATGGCTAGTCCCCTATGTTGACTATACTCATCCGACTGAAATTGAAATCCCCCAAAGTTAAGGCACATTGCAAGTAATTTCAAATAGTCATCTTTTGGCACAGGTAACTGTTCGGAGTCCATATTCGCTACTACAGATTTGATCGCCTCTAACGCACCGTCTACCGAAACGTTGGTAAACAAAGACTTCACATCGAAACTAGCCAGGAACTTATCTGATAAGTCCATGTCCTTGATCTTGTCCATGAGATCCTCAGTGTTGCGGAGATGTGCGTCACTGATCGTGCCCAACGTGCTTGAAAGAGGCCTGGCCAAGACCTTCGCGAGTCGGTGTGGAGCACTGCCGATCCCTGACGTTATCGGTCGCATCGGAACATTCGTTTTGTGTAGCTTCGGGAGACCGCGCATTCGTGGTGCAGCAGGCGCCTCTTCTAGCAGATGGAGAAGATTTTTCCCTTTTTCGGATTTCTTGAGTACCTGTCTTGCTTCTTGATTGAACTTCTTACTAATTTTGTCCGTGTATCCCGAAGGTTTCTTTTCGTATGTTTCAGTGTCTTGGAGTAGGTCATTCATTTTCTTTGTGTAGTCATCGATGTCCATAATCACCAATCCACCTCCCTTATCTGCCTGGGTGACAATCACGGACGAATCCTTGGCTAATCTTCTCAACGCTTCCATGTATCTCCTTGGCAACTTATCAGCCTCCTTATCAGCTAGAGCTTTACAGCATAACAGCACGCCTTGAATAAAACCCTTTTCTACATCTTCATCGTTCCATCTAGTGTTGCGACGAACATGATCCACATATTGATTTTTGTCCTTCCCCGTATCAAACTTTACTCCGAGGGCTAGTGCTTCTTTTTCGTTGTCATTCAGTGCTCGTGATGATAGGTTCGTGACGATTTCTACATTTCCAGCTTCCTTCCATGGGCTGTTGTCGCACAAAGTCTTCAGTTTTCGTTTGAGTTTCGTCTGCTGTTTGTCGTTGAAGTTCTTCAGTTTCGTTCGTAGCTCAGTCGATATCGGCACTCCTTTCAATTCATCTCGTAGAATGTATATCTTGTCCCTTATCTCTGAGCACGCTTCTTCTAAAAAGCTACGGGCAGTTGTGCTAAATGGATGATCTTTACTCTTAAGTTGTTCAGGAGCCGATTTCGGCAATAGACAATAGGAGCCGAAATCGGCTCCTGAACAACTTAAGAGTAAAGATCATCCATTTAGCACAACTGCCCGTAGCTTTTTAGAAGAAGCGTGCTCAGAGATAAGGGACAAGATATACATTCTACGAGATGAATTGAAAGGAGTGCCGATATCGACTGAGCTACGAACGAAACTGAAGAACTTCAACGACAAACAGCAGACGAAACTCAAACGAAAACTGAAGACTTTGTGCGACAACAGCCCATGGAAGGAAGCTGGAAATGTAGAAATCGTCACGAACCTATCATCACGAGCACTGAATGACAACGAAAAAGAAGCACTAGCCCTCGGAGTAAAGTTTGATACGGGGAAGGACAAAAATCAATATGTGGATCATGTTCGTCGCAACACTAGATGGAACGATGAAGATGTAGAAAAGGGTTTTATTCAAGGCGTGCTGTTATGCTGTAAAGCTCTAGCTGATAAGGAGGCTGATAAGTTGCCAAGGAGATACATGGAAGCGTTGAGAAGATTAGCCAAGGATTCGTCCGTGATTGTCACCCAGGCAGATAAGGGAGGTGGATTGGTGATTATGGACATCGATGACTACACAAAGAAAATGAATGACCTACTCCAAGACACTGAAACATACGAAAAGAAACCTTCGGGATACACGGACAAAATTAGTAAGAAGTTCAATCAAGAAGCAAGACAGGTACTCAAGAAATCCGAAAAAGGGAAAAATCTTCTCCATCTGCTAGAAGAGGCGCCTGCTGCACCACGAATGCGCGGTCTCCCGAAGCTACACAAAACGAATGTTCCGATGCGACCGATAACGTCAGGGATCGGCAGTGCTCCACACCGACTCGCGAAGGTCTTGGCCAGGCCTCTTTCAAGCACGTTGGGCACGATCAGTGACGCACATCTCCGCAACACTGAGGATCTCATGGACAAGATCAAGGACATGGACTTATCAGATAAGTTCCTGGCTAGTTTCGATGTGAAGTCTTTGTTTACCAACGTTTCGGTAGACGGTGCGTTAGAGGCGATCAAATCTGTAGTAGCGAATATGGACTCCGAACAGTTACCTGTGCCAAAAGATGACTATTTGAAATTACTTGCAATGTGCCTTAACTTTGGGGGATTTCAATTTCAGTCGGATGAGTATAGTCAACATAGGGGACTAGCCATGGGGTCACCACTGAGTCCGGTGGCGGCATGTTTGTACATGGAGTGGCTCGAAAAGCACCATTATCAGGGCATCATGGGCAGTAACGTAATTTGGTTGCGTTATGTTGACGATATCCTCGTAGTAGTGCCAAAAGAAACGAACTTAGAGGACAAACTTGATAGACTTAACTCGGTAGAGGAAAAGATTCAGTTTACACTTGAGAAAGAAAGCAACGGGACGATTGCATTTCTTGATACTGTGATCATACGTGGAAGTCAGCCAAAATTTAAAGTGTATCGAAAGCCTACAAACAAAGAGTCGTACGTACATTTCTATTCTGGACACAATGATCGGGTTAAAAGTGGGATTGTTTTGGGGTTTTTCCTTAGAGCGTATCGCATTTGTAGTGAAGAGTTTATAGATGAAGAGATTCAGCACATCATGGCATCGTTCACGAAGTTAAAGTACCCCAAAGGATTTCTAGTCAACTTGAAAAGAAAAGCTATCAATATTCGAAAGCGAAGCGCGACAACAAAGACGAAGAAAACCGAACGATATATAACACTTCCCAATTCGAAACCAGCCGAGATGATAGCGAAACAGATTGAAATGACTGGATTTAAAATCGCTTTCTCTTCGGGAACAAAGGTAGGGGATATACTAAAAAACCACACAAAAAGAAATGGAGAAGAAAAAAGTTTAGTGTATAAGATTCCTTGTGGTTCTTGTGACAAATCATATATAGGGGAAACCGGGAGGGGCTTAGACGTTAGATTAAAGGAACATAAGCGGGACATGCGAAACAACGCAGAACATAGCGCGGTAGTAATTCATGCTCAGAAAACACATCATTTACCAAGATGGGGCGGGGCGGAAATTATAGCATTATGTAAAAACAAAGACAATCGGAAGGCGACAGAGGCGGCATTTATAGCAATGAACGAAACGAATAATATTAGGGTGGGTTCGATGAAATGGGCAAAACCAGCGGCGATGTATAGTTTAAAGAAGACGCGTCATTAGTTTGTATTAGTACCTACTTGTTCATGATCGTTCTGTACAAATTTGTTGTTATCCATGTGTCATATGTATGTCAGTGATCTATTTTGCTATCATTTTTCGTGGATATTCTCCTACAGGTGGATTAGTAGCGAATATGTCATATGCATGAATTTTTAAAATCAAGACGATTGCACTGTGACGAGCTCGAATGTTTGTGTGCTATATCTTGTTTTCTCTGTGATTATGTCATGCTGATGAAGATTTAATAATCGAAACGCGTCCATGCACTATTTGTTCCGTGTTATTGCTAATTTTGATGCTGTACTGACAACAGTATAGCTGCTATGCTGACAGCTACCCTGACGCCGTGCTGGCTGTCACAGCTGTCACGCTGTATTGTCAGCCATGCAATACTGGTGCCATACTGATACTGTCGCCACACTGACAGTACTGACGCCATACTGACGTCCGCTGCGCTGCAGGCATCGTGGTGCGTTTTAACGCGGCGCGCGCCCCGCCCGACGTGGCTGACGAGGACCCCGAGCTGCGACCGACGACCAGGGCCGGCCGGCGCTCGGCCAAAGACGACGCGGCCTATACGGTGCACCTGCTGCGCCGCCAAGCCGACTGCATCCAGGCCCTGCGCGCACACAACACCATGCTCGGACGGAAAATACTGGAGCAGCACGCGCGCCTGACCACCGGCGCCACTGGAGCGGTGTGAGAGGCAGAGGGAGGGATGGAGAGGGGGAGAGGAAGGGAGTGTGGGGATGGCACCCTCACGGACAGGGCTCGCTAGTTGCAGTTTATGTTCCGAGCGGCAGTGAGTGGAGCCCCGACTCTGTTGACTGGCCGGCGCGCGGGGATGCCCTCGATTTGTTGACACCAGCCGTCGGCCCGCCTTAGCTGAGTCTCTCGGCTGAGTCGGACCGCCGCCGCTGGTGGACGCGGCACCTCACCAGATGCCCGCGGCGGGGGTCTGCCGTCTGTTCTCTGAGAGTCCGCGGAGTCTCAGAGAATGTGTGGAGTCCTGCTGACTGTGTCACGCGGTACATGAGTGCATGTCTTTCCTGTACAGATAGCCGGCAGCGGCGACGGATACTGCGCGATACATACTACCAAACCCGAGAGCTTAGTTTTATACGCGCCCGTTTTATGCGCCGTCAGCCGTTTGCTCGGGTATTGTCGGCGGGAGTTAGCGCTGGCGTGTGTATCATGGCGTCATCTATTCCAATACCCGGGCGTCCAGCGGCTCCGCGGCTGGAGGCAGTGCGCTGGAGATATCCGCATGGGTGGGCATATGTATAAGGCAGAATGTTGTTTCCTTTGTTAATATGCGTACCTGTTTTTTATTGTGCTCGTAACTCGATATATATGTAGATCTTATTAGTTTTATTCGAGCACTGTACCTACCTGTACATACCGAATAACGTGTCGCCGGTATGAGAATTATACTTTTGCGTTTGGCATGTGCCCCCAATTGCGCTCGAGTTCCAACGTCGTAAACTGCGTGTCGTCCGTCGTAAACACGCTGTGGTAAGTTACCGCAACCAGCTGTGTGAGGCGCTGATGCGATAAAGCTCGATTTTGTTTGAGAATGTGTTCATTTATTAGTCTTATGCACATTGCACAATGTATTGTCAAATAAAGCTAATAACATGCGAGGCTTGTTTTAGTACTTGGAGCCATGCTTCATGCGAGTATGTATGCATTACAAAGCCGTATTTGTTGCGATGGTGTTGTTTATTCACGCATTGCCGTTTATTAGTTAGCCTTTCCAGGCTAATAATATGTAGGGAACTCTCATACAGTCATGCCACAATCTGTTGTTGTTACTGACTACAGCAGGGTAACAAAAGCTATAAAAAAAACTTTGTTGTCGCTAGACCGTGAATTAAAAGATATACAATACCGACCAAGTGCGTACATATGTGTCGCACGCCTTGAAAAGCACCATGCTGAAACGTACCTTGCATACCATACTGGCAAGTGGTCTAGTTGGTAGCTGAATACCCCGATGGTTAAGCAGTCTGATTAGCTGAGTGCCAAAATCCGACGACATGACAGCCATCGTCGGTCTTTATGAGCCCTTCATCCGACAGCAGCAGTGTTAACGTTGTGCAAATGAATATCATTTACGCAACAGTGCTTCGTCATTCCTGGTATTGCGAGGTTATGCCACTTTTCTCTTGCCGAGTTCATAAAAACATACTGACGCTTGGGCGTCAGTTCAACCCTGGTCTCTGACCTCCGGGGACCCGCCTCCGTTTCAGCCTACGACTGGTGACCGGTGAGTTGCGTCGGTGAGTGGCCTCAGCCGCTCCAGAGTTATTGGCGGCACAGGTGGGGCTGACGGCTGATCGTCCTCAGTCAACGGCGACTGGGTGCCGGAGCGCTGCCGTTTCCGCTCGGACAGTGGCAGAGTGACTTCGGAGTACAGATCGCGGCCGCCGGTGGAGACGCAAGGAGGAGTGACCTCGGAATACGGGTCCCAGTCGCCGGCGGAGGCGGGAACGCCCACCGCCGCTGTGGGTCGGCATTGAACTGAGCTGTAGCCGAACTCGACTGTCGTGTCGTGGCAGAGGGAGCTGGCGGCCGACCCTGCTCCGCCGTTCAGTGCCCCCGCCGCAGCGGTACCGAGCCCGCGCTTCTTGGTGCCGACCGCCGACCGCATCGTCTTGCCATCAAACGGACGGCGTCGGCCGGCTACCAGCAGGGCGATCACGACCACCAGTGCCAAAGACAGGAGCGCCAGCGCCGCGGCGGCCGCTGCCACCCCAGAGACGGCCGAGCGGACGCCCTCGCAGTCGGAGCCGGCCGGCCCGGGCTGGTCGGCCGGGCAGCTGTCGGGCCGCTGCAGCTGGCGCAGCACCAGCTGCTCAGCCGCCGAGAGCGGTCGGCGGGAGTCGCTGTCCACCAGTCGCCGCACCATCGACTCCGCGGGACAGGGCCGCGGCCGTTCGTTGCCGACCTCCAGAGCCGACACGCACGGCTCCACGGACGGGTGCAGCTGCAGAGAGCCGGGGTCGGCGTGGGCGACCGTCAGCCGACTCAGACGGAGCGCCGCGGTGGCCGAGTCGCCGCCGGCGGCCCGCAGCTCCTTCAGCGCTCCCCGCTCTAGACGGTTCACCCAGAGGCCGCTGATACTGATCGAGTGCCGCGCCCAGATCTGCAGACCGCTCCGCGCCAGGTGGGCTACCGTCGAGTCGGTGATACTCGCGCTAGACACGGTGACGTTGATTGCGCTCTCGGCAATGCTCCTGATATAACTGTTTTTGACATCCAGCCGCTCCAATTCGCCTAGGATCGCTGACAAGCGTATGTTGGTTAACGCGCAAGACTGGATCGAAAGGCTTACGAGTGCGCTGTGGCCGCCTCCTGCAAAACATCCTCTCTCCACCTCTGATATCGTTACGCGCTCTAGCTTCAGGTGCCGGATGCGTTTACCAAATGTCTTCGGTGAGCAGGTCAAGGCATCTTTTACCTCTTTCAGAGTGAGCATTGCGACTGGTCCTGAAAAGGCACCGTTAGAAGAAAACTCGCCTATATCAGCTATCTCAACGACAGGGCCCTTGGAGGTCGACTCATGACTGAAGGCATTTTCTGAGAACGTTAAACTCGAAATGTTCCGTAACTTAATCGTCGAGGCGGCATCCCAGTGTCGCGACAGCGAGTTGCCATTCATCCTGACGGTGTCGATTGTCGACATTTCCAGCAGCTTCAGTGGGGAGTCTTCACTCAGGGCCAGTCCGTCGCCGACAACCCTCACCGATTTACTGCGTCCGATGGTCAAACTGGTCAGACTCGACAGGGCGAAGATTGCTCGTGCGTGGATTTCTACATCACCCATGTTAGAAATGGCGATCCTTAGTACAGAGCCCGGGATGTCGTCCTTATGGAGCTGAATCTGAAAAATAAGGGTAGGTTTAGTGGTCGATGCATACCTAGGAGCACTGTCTGACTGAACATTGTCGGCTAACATAATGGGTACCTATATACTCCCACATCGCAGAACTTTGTGCTAATAACGCGCGTCTCACCTTTGTATCACGTGTGCAGGTACAGGTCAGGCTGACTGGTGTCACCCAGTCGGGCTCTGCCTGACAACACTTCATCTGGCGAACGGGCGTCGGCACCTGGCCCCTCGCCTGTGCCACGGCCAGCGGGCCGAGCCTGGTCGTGGACAGGACAGCTCCGACCAGCGCAGCTCCGCCAAACATCGTCAGACGCTCTGCGCCGCTGGTCTTCGATCACTATCGGCACTCTGTCCTCGACGTGAGCTGGGTGTCCGGCGGGTGACACGGCGGCGGCTCCTGATGGCACGGCGATGTCTCCTGACGGGCTCCTTCTGCTGAACGTCTGCGTCTTTTGCCGGCACTGGCTGGGCTGTAGCGTCAGAGGACAGAGAGATGTCAGCACTTCAGCAGACAGCAAGCAGCTCGGTCTGAGCCCCAGCTCCTGCCGTCGACTCTTCTCTGGCCGACAGGCGAGGAGCCGAGGAGATCGGAATTCGCTGACCGCCGGCCGAAGACACCACTGAGGCTCTGAGCCGGCCCCAGGAAGGCGGGGGGCTTTGCAGCACCGATAAGGGGCCCGCTGAATCATGCGCGACTGCACCAGTGCCGATACCATGAGCAAGCTGCAAGGGAAGATTGTTTATGTATACAGTATACAGATCACCCCGCGGGGAAGAACCAGGGCCGGGGAGTCCCCAACCAGTCGGTCCAGCTATCGTCACAGCGTCCCCTGGCCCACGTCACACGTGTTTGTTTGGATCACGACAGACTCGAGATTGTTCGGCCCATGGGCAGAGCATTGCATTTTACAAGCATCTTTTTCAACTCGGCGGCACATTCTGAAAACAATTTAACCAGAGGCCGGCGGGTAAAGCGGTGCCTAAGGTGTCCTTATTTGTAGGTAGCATTTGAAAGTGAATATTTAAACGAGCGGAGGCCGAAATATGGTGTAAAACGATGATCAAATACCTGTGAAGTTTCAGATTGATCGGGTATATTTAACCCGCGCCCTGCTGGGGGGGGGGGGGGGAGGGTCAACACCTCCTGCGAGTTTTCGCAAATATCTCATGTTGTGAAAATTTCAGACCAAGGTCACTTAACCCGCGCCGGGCCAGTGCTCTGAGATTCCGCGCCGGGCCGGGGGGGGGGGGGGAGTGTCTGAACACAACACCCCCTCTTCTAACTCGGCTCCTGGGCCACGTAGCGACACGCGGTAAGCGGCAATCGACAGAACGTCCAAAATAAGGACGAAAACATTTCGGTCATTTTTTGGTCAGGTCAAAGGTCAGGTCACCAGAGGTCACCAAAGGTAAAATGTTGACTATTTCAACATTTTGGAAACTGCCAACGGCTATCTCGGGAACCGAAAGAGCTGCAGCGCCGCGGAAAAGCGCATTCGATAGCCCTTTTTATACAGACTTTTTTGATTAATGCTTTCAGATTTGACCTCAGATCAACAGTTTAGCCTCCAGAGGGCAAAAACTCCAAAAATAGCCGTTTTTACGAAAAGATCAATGCGAGGGTACTGAAAGTTTGGTCGCGATCGGCCGCTTTTTACGCGAGTTATTCGCGAAAAACCTTAGGGGGGGTTGCATCAACCCCCCCCCCTGTGCCGGCGAAGGTTAACGCATGGGCTCTCCTGAACGGTCCCGCCACCGACCCGCACGCTGACAGGGGGGAGATCTCTGGTATTCTGTCGGGTGCCAAGGAGGAGGATTTCCGTTTTGGACGTGTTGAGTTTAAGTCCGTGGGCATGGAACCACGATGCCAAGGAGGTGAGGGTAGACTCCATGCGTTGGATGAGGTAAGGAAGATTGTGCTTGGTATCGGAAATAAGGATTTGGGTATCGTCAGCGTACTGGTTCACATGAGCGTCCGGCGCGTGCAGACTGAGGTCGTTGGCAAAAATGGTGAATAACAGAGGACCGAGGGCTGATCCTTGGAAGACTCCCATGGTGTTAGGAAGGGGCCTCGAAACCGCTCTGTCACCGGAAGGAGAAGAGATACCGACAGACTGAGTGTGGCCGGTGAGGTAGGAGGAAAACCAGGTCGGGTGGATGCCATAGAGCTGGAGCTTGGAAGCTAGCAGTGAGTGAGGAATGACATCAGAACATTTACTAAGATCCAGAAGACAGAGGAGGGAGATAAGGCCACGGTCCATGTTGGAAAAAGCGCGATTAGTTACAGAGAGCAGAGCGGTTTCGGTAGAGTGAAGAGGACGAAAACCGTGCTGGGATGAAGAGAGAAGATGGTTGTCAAGACATGTAGTCACTAGTCAGACAGACACTGGCGGAGCTGCGGGAGGTGGTGCTCTCCATGAAGCGTTCCGGTGCGTGTGGAGTCGGACCTGACGGCGTCTGTATTCGCATCCTGCTCATTTCTTTCGAAGCCATGGGTCCCATCCTGCTCCGTGTAGTCAATGCCTGTCTTTCCACGTGTGACTATCACGACTCTTGTAGTCGGGATATTAGTCGATCCGTATCAAGCTGAACACAGCTAATGTGTTTTCATCGCTCTAGCATGTCTTTAACCCGCGCCGACGCCAAAGCCCAAACTTGCAGTACCTTCGGCTGCATCAATTTGACACCTTGTGTCAAAATATGAGCTCATCGTAGCTACCATAGGTCGGCCGGAAATGACGTCAGAGTGACGTCATGTTCGGCCGATTTGGACGCAAAACATTGAAACACGGCAATCGCTCCCAAGAGCTCAGTTTTTAAGCTAGATCCCAAGGCCATCTATAGAAGGTACAGTCACTCCCACGACGACCAATCAGAGACAGATCCTGAGTGACGTCATCCCTGATGCTCGAAAGGGGTACTCCATTCCTTTACAACGTAAAAATGACTAACTTTATTTGAAGATTGTTGGTGACACTCTACACATATCGCTCAACCATTGATGTCATTGGAAAGTCCAACTAATTTTCTAGCGATAAAAAAAGAGCAGCAATGTGCTAAGAAATGGCCGGTTTTGAAGATATAGACGATTTAAAAACCCTCTGCAGTTGCAGGAAAGCAACGTAAAAACGCATCGAGCTTACATTTTTACTATGAATAAATCATTTTTCAGTAAGTTTTTAGATATGGTATCGATTTATTCAACAACTTTATTACAATATTTTTATTACTTGGAACTTTATTTCAAAATAATATTTTCAAAAATGGCAACTGTTGGCAAGTAGCTTTGAAGCGATTGTGGCGCGCCGCGCCATTATCCCTCGCGGGCCCGGGGGGGGCCGGGGGGGGGGGCGTTTTTCGCCCCCCCCCCTGGCGAATATTTGCGATAGCTCCCGAACGCTTAGGGATAGGAAAGCGAAACTTTCAGTACCTTTTCTCCCATCAATTTGACATCTTCTGAAGTAAAAAATTTGGACCTAGCCCCCTTGATGACGTCACAAGGTCCATTTTTCTAGACCCCTGCACGGCAAACTTCGGCGTCACAGACGAAAACTTCAAATAGCTGCTAAAAATAGAGTTTTAGCGATAAAGACAAATTACGAGCACGGTTGTGTAGCGTTTGACCTAGAGAAAAATAGAAAAATAGTTTTGGTGACCTGAGGTCAGAGGTCAGGTCAACGACCCGGAAATGTGGTTTTAGTTTTTCGCAAATAACTTCGACAAAAATGGTCCTAGAGCTACGGCAGTGGTACCATCGCATTTGCCTTGTCAAGCCGCGTCGAATGATATATACGCCCGGTTATATATGACAAGATATAACCGGTTTTTCCGCGATACTACGAGCGTCTTCTCTGGGGCGGCCCCGGAGCCGGGCCGGCCTCGGCGAGCAGCGTTCGGCGGCAGGCGAGCGGCCGCCTGCGCCCCCGGGCGGCAAGGCCGCTAAGGCGGCGGCCTCCTCTGATTGGTGGAGCGACTTGTGTCACGTGACGGTGACGGCGCGGGGTTTGAGTGCATTTGCGCGGTCACTCTGTTCTAAGCCGTCCGGTCTGACGCAAGTCAGCAGTGTTCTCGCTCTGAAATGTTTTTGCGTTTACTGCGGTCGTGTTCAGTGGAAACTGGAAGACATCAAGGGGAGTATAAGTTCGGTTTTATATCAATGTTATTGATTGACGAGGAAGTTTTTTCCTTTCGGGGTTTCTATGCTTATTTTTTACTGGTTTGTTGTTTCTGTCTGATTTTTTTTTTTCATTTTCGGCATGGGGTCTGTTTTTTTGGGTTTATGTTATGCTATCACGGTAAGAAGAGGGTCGATGAGCAATGGGTCGGCAAATGCCCGGTATTATAGGTTCTTTGAAGGTTAGATGAGACAACGAAACTTGGACTGCTGGTAGAAATAGGCTTGGTGTGTTTTTCAGATTTTGGGAGATTGGGTGTAGGTATTTGCTAGGTGTAACATAGCTGTAACTGTTTTTTGTTTCTTCCCTGGAACGGAGCGCCGGACTTTGCCATTCTACACTCCGTGTGAGTGAAATCAGCTCATGCTTTCTCGGTGTAGCAGCTCAGAGTGCACGGCCTGGCCGGCGTAGGGTTTGGTGGCCACGCGGTGTTGGCCGGTGGTTGTGCAGGGAGTTGGTAGAATTGCCGTTTGTGGTGCCTGGTGTTGGTTGAACTGTGGTTCCCATACAGGTGAACGGTTACTGGCGTAAGGTGTGCCAGGTGGGCGTACCCCGTGGAGAATGAGCTGCTGGTGATGTTGGCTCTGTCCGAGCGTGTCCGAGCGGGGTTTTCATTAGTGGGTTAGGGATTGTTGATAACAAGGGTACCAACTACCGGGTGAGACTTGAGATGGTAAATGGAATTCATGCTAAGGATAACCAATGCAATGGTATTGGTCTTAATTGGTATTGTTATCTGGTGTTAGATACAGAGGTACAGCGGTGATACGGTGGAACCCAGTTTGGGTGTGATAAGTCTCGGCGGACTAGGATATTATGGATTAGATGGGGAATTATGTAAGATGGCTCTGGGATGCATTTAGCGATAGCATAGTAAGTTACAGGCTATTACCCAGAGAAAGTTTTCACACCCATGTCGATGTTTAAAGGCTGCAGTAGGTAGGCATGCCATTTTCTAGGATGCAATTTTAGGGTATAGCCCATGATTGGGTGGCTCTCACTCTGCATTGAGGTACGAGTTAACTGTGTTTCGTTTTTTTATGGTAGTGTCGTTTGTAAATCGTTTTTTTTTTTTTTGCCAGGTTGGGGTGCCTTTCTTGTCGTTGGTCAACAGAGCATTGCCTAGGCATGCATAAGCGACAATCATCATAGTAATATTGGTATGCCATATGCATATCCTGCCGCTATGTCATCACACGCATTGTCAGATAAATGGCCCCGGTATATATAGCCCCTTTTGATACGAGATTTCGGCTAAAAATGGTTATGTGACACAATCTGTTTTTTTTCCTTCTTCCATGGCTTGGTGTTTGGCATCCGACTCTGAACGGCGACGGATCGGCACACTCGGCGGGGCCGGCCCGCTTTGCCAGAGTCTTCTCTGGCCGCTGAAGGATTCCTTCACAGCTCCTGTGTCAGCTGAGGGAGTTCCGACCCCTCCCAGCTCATCTTGC